GAGTTTAACACGTTTTACAAATGATTGTTTCTGCGATACTGTAAACTACTTTCGCTCATAAATTATCCACTTCAAGTTTAGAAGTCATTTTCCCAGTTTACCCCGTAGCAGAGGTTCAAAAAATATAAATACTTCTCTAGAACTCCATAGTCTTATGTTCTTTTTAGCATTCTGCTTTTCTTTCTTTTCCCCCCTTTTTTAAATTGATTTTTTTATCTCAAAAGGGAAATACCGAATTAACAACAACCGAATGACAAATTTAAGTACAATATTGTGGTATTTAAAAAAAGGAAGAAAAAAAGGCTAAGGATGCATGACCATAATTTAATAATTAACTGTGCTACATTTCATACCTGTACGTTTGTGTCGCAAATGAACAAAACATTAGCCATGAATTTTATTTCTAAGTGAATGCGTATTATATTGTGGCCCACATCCTATATTAATTCAAGTTTCGTTACTTGAAACTATGGTTTCGAGTAATGAAAGAAAATAAAATGAAACTCAAATGAAAGAAAATAGAAATAAAAACCAAGAAAGATATAGAAGAAAAGAAATTAAAAGAAAAACAGAACAGAATAATAAAAAAAGAAACAAAGCAAGCAACCAAACTAAGAAAGAACATGACACTCAACATACTAAAGGGAAAAAAGATAAGATGAAGAAGAAAAAAAGATAAAATAGGAAAATTTTTCCAACGCTGAATTAAGAAGACGCGAGCCAGAGATCTAGAACTTATTGGTGTTGAGTGGATGAGAAAGGACGAAAAAACGATCTTTCATCGCCAAGCTTGGGTTTCCTGTGTGTAACTTACCAAAGGAAGCCCAAGCGATTATATCTTTTCCGCTGACCCGTGCGCACGTGAACTACTTTTATAAGAATCAAAAACTTTGTAGTAATAAATTTGATTTTGAGACTATTATTCCTTGAAAATGGTCAAAAAAAAATTGGGAAAAGCTAAACAAACCAAGAATAAGTCTGCACGGAATAACAGGAAAGCGATACAAACTGATTTTATTGAAGAAATCGATGATTTTAACGAAGAAGACGAAGTCGAACAAGAAGACTTMGAGTTTTATCAAAATACTGACAGAAGTTTAGAGTTTCTAACACATCTAACCACTGACTCAAATATGTAAGTATACTGACGTATGATAAAGGATTTATTCTGTATTAATAACATTAACTTTTCAGTATTAAAAGGATTGAGGGGTTAATTTATCATGTAAACATCACTCTTGAACACAGCAAGCTTGAATAATTTCTACTGCATCGAATCATTCGCAGATTGCTKATCTTTACCTTCCTAGAACGACTTATTATGATTAAAAATAGATTTGTAAAGGACTGTGTGTGTTCTAATTAAATAATCAAATAACTCCTAACACAGAATGATTTATTATGATTTAAACTAGATTCGTAAATTGTCTGTGTTAATTATTTTTTTGATTTACATAAACCAAAAACCCTGAAGTAAGGCGTAGGTTCCATAAACAAAGCAACTTAGAGTTCTGAGTTTACAGGGTGGCAAGTGTTTGACCATTTATATCTTTCCCTCCTCCCCCCCTTACCACCCTGATCAAATATAGAAGTAATTGTTATTCAAAATATTATGCATGCCTATAATTTGYGGGGTATTCTAAAGTCATACATTCGGTGAATTGGGGAAAGTTCATTTAATATACTGAGGGGGGGAGGGTGGGGGGAGATGGAAATATGTTGGGGGGGACCAAAAATTTTTGGGACATGAAAGGGGGGCTCTAAATATTTGTCATGCAAACAAGGAGGCTCTCAATTCACTTTTTAAGCGATAGCTGTCTCGTTGTAAACACTTTGTTGGATTGTGTTACGGTCACCAAAAAGTTCGGACATCGTTCTTGGATTCCCATACAAATTCACTGAGTTTAAAGAGAAAATTTARATRGATTTCTTTAGTTAGCTCTCTTAACAGCAATAAGAAAAGCTTCAATCAAGTTAGAAAAATGATATTTTACTTGTATTTAGAGAACTAACTAAACAAACCAAGTAAATAGTTCATTTAWAGTCAGTACATTTGTATGGAAATTCAAGAACAATGTCCAAACTWCTTGGTGACCGTAACATGATCCAACACAATTTATTCCATGTGATGGCCAGCACCGAAAAGGTGAATTTGAATTTGAAAATTTTCATGGGCTGTTTGGGTTGGGCTTTGAAAATTAAGTTAAGTCCTAAGGGGGCCTATATAAAAATAAGGTTTTTGAGGAGATATTTTCATTAACCCCCCCCCCCCCCTTGGCATATTAGAAAAACTTATTTTTTTATTTATGAAGAGAAGGATCAAACATTCTGTGGTAGTAATATTGTTATATGAAATAAATGCTCTCTAATATTTATATTTATAAATGCTTATGTTTTCAGAGAAAATGGAGAAGTTGGTAGAAAAAGAAAAAGAAAGAAAATAATAGATAAAGAAAATGAAGAAGACTATGAAAAGCAACCTCGTTTATCTCAAGAAGATGCACTTGACCAACATGTTCTCTTGCCAATTAAAAGTCAAAAAGGAGTCATTCAAAGACTAGGGAGTAAACCAGGTAAATCAAAAAAATAGAAATGTACTGGGACCGTGGAGCGAGCTTTGAATTGGGGAGGAGAGGGGGTTATATTTCAGAAATCTCTTCCAATTACTGAGTTTTATACCAAATACAAAATAAGCTAGTAATAACAAAAATGAGGGGGGCTATAGCCTCTCAGGCCCCTAGCTCCACGGTCCATGATGTATAGTTCCATCGTACATATATTTCTAGGCGATGGGAATATATAAAATTGAAGCCTTTTATCTTAAACTGTCAAGGGAGACAAAAGATAGTTCAGATAGTTTGAGTTACTGTTATAAATACTGGAACTTTGGTTAAGTTAAACAGACTCAAACAAAGAATATTTAAATTTAAKGGTTTCCAGCTGAGTTCTGGTATTTTTAAAAGTTTGTTTTGTAGAATTTGAGACAACTGATTTTAAACTGGGACAAAGGGTAACAAAAACATRTTAATGGGAATTTTGAAATATTCAATTCTTATATATAGCTGAAAAAAAAATGGCAAATCCATTGGAAAAAGGCTTGAGTTTGARATAGCAGTGAGTTAAAGAAACTGGTATATTTCTTCAGCTTCACAGGATGACAATGAGATCAAAGCCACTGAAAACAAAGAGAATAAAGAATCTGAAGGAAAGAACAATGAAGCAATGCCTATGGAATGTACTCCATTAAGTGTAATTGAATTATATGCAAGACGGCAACAGAAGCTCAGTCAACGTAAAGTTAGGATTGCTGAACTGTCCAATGCTGTCATCCAAAATCCAGAAGAAAATGTATGATTTGTTTACTTTTGTGTAATTTKTTTTGAATTTTTTTGAATTTTATTTTAAAGATAAAGTACTTTGTATTTTRGGCCCTGACAATATGTATCTGCGGATATTTTTGAAAACAGAATCTTTTCTTTGCRGATTAGCCTTAAGTCCACATGGATCTGTTTGGCTTAAATGATTTGAAAAAACTCTTCATGCAGTGGAAGAGAATTTTTCGAAAACAGAATAAAAAATTTGTTTTCAAAAATATCCAGATATGGATTGGGCCTTAGAATGATTTATTTTGATAGAACCTAGCCTACAGTATACCTTTTCCATTAGTCCAAAAATATCCTAACACTCCCAAATAATAAATRAACCAATTTTTTATTGCCTAATATTGTTATGTGTTTTTATTGTTGTTAAAATAGGTTCCACAGTTAAAAGAACTTTGTTCTTATTGTGAAGAAAATGATGTTGATATTAGGATTACCACCAAAAAACTGGCTRTAGTGTCCTTACTTGAAGTCTTCAAGGATATTGTTCCAGGGTAAGTTGTAATGGAGATTTTTGAAATAGAAAACTATATAAGTAGTAAAATTATGTTTATGATGAGAGAGAAAATATATAGAGAGAAAGGGGGGTGGGGGGAGTGGGGAGAAGAGGTTGGCTGACAACCTTTTGAGTCAATACAAATTATTAGGTAGAGTAAGAGTATCTTATAAAAAACTCTCTTCTCATTTGTTTATATTAGTTATACTGTCCGCTTACCAACTGAAAAAGAGAAAGAAACTAAGGTAGGTATGGCAATTTTAATATTAATCAAATTGATATTTAAAGAATAAATCTTTCTGGCATGGGCGTAATGTTTTCCCATAACCACATGTTATTCTCTTGAGAATAAGATTCTTTGTTCGAGTTGTATCTGTATTCATGTGTTTTCTGATGTGAGACTGTTAAACAAAGAAATGATACACTAGGGAATGACAGGTGGTCTGAAATGGGAAAATGTTACACCCAAGGCAAAAAGGTCTATGATTAATGAACTACATCTAGAGGCCTAGGTTGATGTAGGATTAATGTCATCCTTCTTGAATACAAATGTAAAAATATTTTAAAAAAATAGTTGTCAGATTCTCGGGAGGGGGGGCATGTCCCGCTAACCCTTCCTAGATCCTCAAATGATACGTATGTAAATTGTTGAAAAGGGAAAATTAAGATATAGGATGCTCTTCAGTGTTTTAAAGTTATACTTCATATTATAATATTATATTATATTTGGTATATTATATGGCTTCTGTAGGTTTCCAAAGATATCAGGAAGATACGGGACTTTGAGGAAGGGTTGTTAATCACTTATCAGAAGTACCTACAGATACTAGAAAAGATGGCACAAGGTAG